GCTTCCTGTCCCAGGCGGAGGAGTGCGGGCTGGGCCTGGCCGCAGCCCCCGCCAAAGGAAGGCAGCCCGGAGGGCGGGAGGGGGACGGCCTGCATGGGGTCCAGGGAAGGGAGGACCCGCGCCTGCGCTCCCCAGCCCGGCACCTGGGAACCCTGTGAAAGGCGGAGGAGTGAGCCTGCTGGGGGTGAGAGGTGAGGCTGAGTGGATGCGGGTGGCTCTGCAGGGGCGAAGTTCCAGCAGGACCCGGAGCCCGGTGAGGGGGACAGGAGGCGGCTGGGCCCAGGGCTGGAGGGCAGGACGGGGAGGTTGCTCAGGCCCTGGAGAAGGTGCTGGGAAGCCGTTGTGTGCTGAGGGCCGCCCCCCGCCCGGCCGGTGTGGCTCAGTGGCTGAGCATTGACCCAGGAACCAAGTCGCCTCCGTTAGGTTCCCAGTCAGGGCACAGGCCCAGGCTGTGGGCTCCATCCCGTGTGGGGCCTGCAGGAGGCAGCCAGTCGATGATGTTTCTCTCTCATCATCGATGCTTCTATCTCTCTATTCTTCTCCCTTCCTTTCTCTAAAAAATTAATAAAGGCATATTTAAAAAAAAAACAAACAGGGGGTCTGGCCTGGACCCCGCAGGCTCTGGAGGCTGAGGGAGAGATCAACCCTCCCAGGAGGTTTCGGAGCCATGAGCCCAGCGGCTTCGGGGGGTGGGGAGGGGTCCATGGTGGACAGATAGGCCTGCGGGGGTGACGTGCTGTGTCCTCCGTGTTCCAGACGCTCCGCTGGCCGAGGAGGACATCCTGTACCCAGCAGAGCCGGCCCGGGCTGTGCTCCCCTCAGGCGGCACCTTCCATGTCTGCTCGCCCCCAGCCGCCCCCGCCACGGCCCCTCTGTCACCCGCCGGCCCGGGCAAGCCCGCCCCCCTCCCCATCCTGAGCCGCAACGCCACCCACCCGCTGCTGCACATCAGCACACTGTATGAGGCCCGGGAGGAGGAGGACGGGGGGCCCCGGGCACCCCCAGACATGGGGAGCCTCATCGCCATCCCCCCACCCCAGCAGATCCTCATTGCCACCTTCGATGAGCCAAGGACCGTAGTGAGTACCGTGGAGTTCTGAGGGCGCATGGCTGCCAGGGCCCCCCCGGGGGACCCCTCCGCATGACCAGGGTATACCGCCGCCCCCAGCACTGCCCACCCCAGCCTCCCACCCGCATGCCTCGGGCTCGGCACCTGTCCCTCCCCCTCTGTGGCATTGTTGGGGTGCTGACTGGGCCAGGGGCTGGCCGTGAGCCCCCTCCCTGCACCAGGCGCTCGCCATGAGTTTATTTTCTTAGTTTGTCTTGGGCCCAGGATGCTGGCCATGAGGGGTGCTCTGTGGGGGACATGTGGGTCCGAGGTGTAGAAGGAAGCTGGGGGCAGGGGCACCACAGGCCTGGGATGCACAGCCGCTGAGCCACGCTGTGCTCCTGGCTTGCCCGGGCAAGGCCGGAAGCCCTCGGGTCAAAGGTCAACATGCACTTTCTCCTTGTACCCCGACTACCTGTACTTCACTATGGTTACTGTAACCCACAAGTATCTCTCTTGTCAGGAGACTTAGGGTGCATTTAAAACAAAGGATGTGTGTGTGGGCGTGTGGGTGTGTGTGGCCAGAGGGGGAGGGCGCCCGTGTGCAAGTAGACACGTGGGTGAGCGTGCAAAGCATGCGTGAGTGGGCACCAGCGTGTAAGCAAGTGTGTGTGAGCAGGCCCAGGTGAGCGTGCACGTGTGAGACCAGGCATGGGCGCCGGGGCGTGAGCAAGGAAAGGAGTCCAACGCAATAACCACGTCCCCCCCGGGCCCCAGCCCGCCCCGGGCCCACGCTGCTTCCCGCGGGAGCCGGGCCGCGTGGCGGGTCTGCCCCTATTACCTCAGCCACGGCAACAACGTGACGCATTAACAAGGTAGCACTGAGCATATCAATAAATACTATTCTGATACCGCCTGCGTCCCGCGTGGTCCACGCCGGGGCCTGTGCTCTGGCCAAGGCCTCCTGTGTCCCCACTGCATGTCGATCCCGGACCCCACATTACAGGCCCCGGGAGGCGCCCCCCTGCCTTCCAGGCCATCCTGGGGGTGCTGCGGACCCACAGCGAGGCAGACACCTGGTCGTCACTGTGGCTGACACGCCGTGGCCTCTTGCTAGCTGCACCGTAGGCGCCGGGACCAGGTGAGCCCTCCAGGACGCACAGGCTCAGCAGAGACACGACACGCGCCCAGAGGCAGCCATCTCCTCTGTCAGGTGCTGGGGGACGGGCTGCTGGGCACACGCCGCAGAGCAGGGGCTGCTGCCAGGACCCAGGAAGGCTCCGGAGGAGGCTCCGGCCTTGAGGTGCTGCTAATACCATAGGGGTCCAGGGCAGGGTCTTGTCACCAGGCCTAGGGCTTGGGCGGGGATGAAGCGGGCCCTGTGGGTGTTCCACGGGACCACACGCCTTGCAGGCCACGGCACGTGACCCTCAGGGTCTGAAGGGACGCTTCGTGCAGGCAGGTGGCAGGGGCAGAGCAGGCAGGTGAAGGCCTGGAGTGGCAGGGAGCGCTCTGCAGAGAGCCCGGCGTGGGCAGACCTGACCGCCTGGCCTGGAGCCCCCCCGCACCCACCCAGCAGCTGGGAGCTGGGCAGCTGCCCTTCCCGGGAGTCAGACTGGACAGGGACGTGGACAGGCTGCAGCCCACCAGGTGTTTGACATGTAGGTTTGCTGCTGTTCAGGTGTGGGGAGGCAGGACGGGGGACAGTGGCCATTGCAATGACAGTTTGTGCTCACACTCTCCAGGGAGGGGG